GATTAGGTCTACTACTTCTACTCCTACGGCACTGCCGCATGGCTGGGTAAGCTCTCCGTTACTCCATCAGGCTATCGTATAGCTTGCTAATACAAACACAGCGACCCAAGCCGCGCCTCTGATCGCGTCCCCAACGATGATGGTAGCATTGTTGTCCCCCGAAGTCCGCGAAGCTTCCAGTACGTATGCACGAAAGACCGGGAAACACATTAAACGATGAGGTGCTAACGAGGATGACTAGCTCTCGAAGTCTACTTCTCCCGCACCCTGGGCCTCTCGCTCATCGCCCTGGGTATCCTGACTGTCCTCCTCACGGGGTCTGTTCCATTGTCTAGTCGACTCTCCGAAGGTACCTTTCCCTCTCCCTCCCCAACCCACCACCGTACACCGAACTAACACCTTCTAGGCGCAACCACCAACGAAGAAGACCCGAAAGCCCCCTACGCTCTCCCCACACTCACCGTAACCGCCATGTTCCACTCCGCCCTCGCCTTCTACGGCTACGCCATGTGGACACGCACCGGCGTCATGGCCTTCAGCTTGGGAACGCTAGGCTCTGGTTTCCTGGCTATAGTGGCACTGTGGTGCATTCTGTTTGCAAGCAGCAACGGCAGGATTAGCAGGAAGACTGGCGCGGATAAGAGGACGTCTGGTTTCCCGTTCAAGAACGCTGAGGCGGAGAAGAAGAAGGGTAGGTAGATGCTTACTATCTATCTATGGAGCCTTTGCTGGCTTCGATGGGTCACAAGGCATGCTGCGGGTGGGCGGAGGGGGTATGGAAGGCATATCTGCAACGGCGAATAGGCATACTATGGGAGTTATGCGGGAGCAAGGCATGGAAAACTGGCATTGGAAAATTGTCAGACACGGATTAAGGGAATGAAGCTGTATACTATGGAAGCATTGAATGAATTGGTATCTTTAAACCTTGAATGTACCCAAAGACCCGTGAACACCCAGGTTTCTATCCCATAGCAATACAAAAGTACTATCGAAAAATACGAGGGCATGGCGCCGTCATCGCCCTCAACACCGGAGCTTCGCAGTTGTCCACCGCCTCATCGCAGCCGCGTTCTATCATACCAACACCTTCGCCGCTCACCCATGTGCATAACGCCTCCGGGGCGGGCCCCTGTAATTCAACTGCTCCTCCACCGCAAGACAGCGGTCACGCCAATGAACGCACTCCGCATCCAACCACGCAGCACGATCCGCCAGACCTAGATATTCCAGCGAAGCCTGCGACATAGGAATTTGACCCAGACGCAGTGCATCCAACCTACGATGATGTATACGCTGCTGCAACTGCAGAGCCATATCCCTCTCCGCGGGATCCAGATATTCCAGCCCAAGCTACGGAACGGGTACCTGAGGCTGGGGCTCTTCGATAGGTTGGATATGTGCGGGAGGCGGTCTAGGCTGAACCGCTTCCTCCTTAATCCGCGGTTGTTGCTGAGTGTCGTCGCGCCACCAGGGCAATTTGCCTTCTCTGGGTAGGATGGGCAGGGCTTTCGCGGGCTGGATGTCGTTTTCAACGGATTGCCAGCCTTCCATGTCGTCGGGCATGCCTTGATCGACGCGGCGTCGTCGCTCGGTTGCGGCTTGTGCTTCCATGTAGTTCTCGAAGAGGAGTTCTTTGGCTTGCCATTCTTCCTGGCGGGTGTGTTCGAGCTCCTCGGCTTCGGCGCGCAGTTGTTCGCCTTCTTGCGTTGCCCAGAGGAGTTGGCGGCGCAGGAGTTGGAAGAGTTCGGGTGCGGGTCGCTGGAGCTCTTCGGGTGTGAATTCGATGTCTGGTGGGAATTGGACGAGCGGTGGGGCGGAGGGGTTGGCGAGGTCTTGCAGGTAGATGACGTTGTTGTGGGCGTAGTCGGCGTCGGGGGCGGGTGCGGGTGCGTTGGACGGAAGGGTCGCGCTGTTCGGGGGGTGCGAGTGTGAGGAGGGAGAGCCCGGTGTTGAGCCTTTGTCGTGGGGCAGCTTCTTGGCTTCGTTGTTGAGGACGAGCTTGAGGCGCTGCTTATTGTTTGTAGGGTTGGAGGAGTGGTGCTTGGGGACGGGGTCCGAGGGGCGCAGTGCTTCCGTCTCGTGGACGGTTCTCATGTGCTTGGCTAACGCGTCGGAGCGGGTGAAGGAACGGTCGCATTCTGAGGGACTTAGTAAGGGTAATGCTATAGAGATGGGTCTGGCGACTTACCTGGAAGGGTACAGTAGAATGGCTTCTCCCTTGTATGTGAGCGCATGTGAGCCCTAAGCGCATAGCCACTAGCATGGGGTATGCCTTTTCTTGTGCAGTCGCTCCACTCGCAACTATACTTCTTCTGCCGTGTTCCTATATGGTCTTCATGAAGATGTTCGACGAGGTTATCCATGTTTTGCAGGTCACCCGCCGTGCAGCCGTCCCATTTGCAGACAGTGACCTGTTCCTGGCCGTAGTCGTCGTCTTGCGACATGCCCGGGTGGTGGTGTGGCGACGCAGGGACCGAGCCATCCGTATCTTCCGACAGCTCGTCCTCTTCCTCGGGCGGCATGGTATTGATATGGGGTGGTGAAGATGGCGCGCGGATATTCAGGCGTGGTCGCTTGTTGGGGCGCTGGTCGTGGTCAGGAGTGGCTTCGTAGCTGGCATGGCGGCCTCCTTTGATGTCCTCGGGAAAATCGTCGCTGCCGTACTCGGAGAGTTCTGAAGGCGATTCCATGGCGGCGATTGATGTGGATGTGAATGTAGCCGTGGGCGCGTTTGGAGAGCGTGACGATGGCTGTACGGCGCGTTGGACGTCTAGCCCGAGGTGCAGGGACCACCCGTTTAGCTCGATATTTTTGGGCAGCTTACTTCCTTCCTCTTTCTTCCTCCTCGTCTTGCGATCACTCAATTGTAATCACACCAAGCTGTACTTTGGTCAGTTGGCTATGCGAAGCTTATTCGTCGGGCGAATGTCCATTTGGACGTCTCCATTCTTTACCATGGTAACGAGGCTGGGTGCGATATGAATTTGCTCTACTTCCCTCCAACACCACGAAAACGGCTATAGGTAAGTTTTTCCACCGTCTCCTTCATCCTATTTCTATGATGATCTATTCCAGAGTTCTGCAATTCCAAAGAGTCGCTTCACGGCGGCTCAAATGCGGATTAGCTCTACACTACAATTCTTTCTGATCTGCTATTCTATGCACAATCTTAAGCTTGCTATGTTACAGCTACAGTGCTAACAAGCTTCAGACTAGATTCTTAATTGTCTATGCGAACAGCAATGCCGACTGCGACTCGTGGTACCTTCCTCCAATCGGCGGGAACTTCTTCAGCATCTCGTCCAGCGCCTTCATGTCCTCGCCGTTGAGCTTCGCCGGCTTCATGTTCTCCTCGATCCTCTCCGATGTCGTAGCGCCAGGGATAGGGATGATAGTAGGCATACCCTTGGCGCCGCTCTGCGCGAGTACCCAGCCGATGGCGATCTGAGCTGGTGTGACTCCCTTTGCCTTGGCCATGTCCTCGACGGCGTGGAGCAACTTGATATTCTCATCGAACACGTCGGGCTGGAACCTGGGCATGTGCTGAAGCATGGAGTCGGGTTCGATGTCGCTGTACTTCTTGTACTTGCCAGTCTGCAAAGCATTAGAGGTAGGTCGTTGGCTGAAAGGGTGTGCTTACCAAGAACCCGCGTCCAAGAGGAGAGTACGCGATGATAGGAATACCCAGCTCTGTGCATGTCGCCGCGACACCGTTCTCCAGAATGTCAGTCGCCCAGAGCGAGAACTCTACCTCGACGGCCGAGATCGGGTGCACGGCATGCGCCTTGCGTATAGACTGCGCGCCGACCTCTGACAAGCTGATGCCGCCGAGCTTGCCTTCTTTGACATACTCTGCGATGTAGCCTACAGTGTCTGCGATGGGTGTCTTGGGGTCGACTCTGGCGCACTCGAACAGATCGAGGCTCTTCTTGCCATCCAGCACCTTCAAGCACTCGTCGATGCTACGCCTGACGTTCTCCCGACTGCCATCGGGCGCCATCTCACCCTTCTTGAGACCACCCTTGATAGACAAAACGACCTTCTCTGCGTCGCCGGGGTACTTGGTGAAATACTCGTTGAGCAGGTGTAGAGAGTTGCGCTCCGGTGATCCGTAGAGCTCGCCGCCGTTCCAGTTGTTGGCGCCGAGTGATAGTGCTGTGCGCATGGCTTCGTAGCTCTGTTCGGCTGGTGGTGGGTTCTTGCGCCATGTCAGACCTGTGATGTGTTAGCGAAGCGATTGCGAGGTAGGTAATGATGCATACCCATGAGGCCGTAGCCAACGGGGCCTACAGTCTTTCCGACAAGTTCAGGCATCTTCGGTGCTTCTTTGAATTTTTGAGACTGTTGGTGGGGTAGATAGAAATCCGGCAAATTTATCACTCTAGTACCTCAATGGATTGTGTCGCTGTTGATATCGTGCAGTGTCCTGTCAACCGTTCTGCCACTGAGTCTTTATATCGAACCGGCGGTCTTCTCGGGCCCGAAGTCATTTTTATGTAACTGGATGTTGATGACGCGGGCTCCACATTATACTTGCATCTGCCGGGCCCATTGAGATCTTAACTCCGTTCGGCCAATCAGGCGCCGATGTGGCGGAAGAAGATGGACTTTACTATGATAGCTCCAGCGGAATGCTTGCGCGGTGTATGCTACTTGGGGGGATTTGAGGATGCATAGGAGAGTGAGTTGGTAAGCTGGAGTTAGGAGATGGCATCAGGACGGAAGGTGGATGAGCTGCGAGTTGCTTCTAGTAGTGCATGGATAGGAGTGCGAAGAACGCTTTGAGCGTTGATGGTAGCTTCTAGTAAGGCAGTTGCAGATATGATGTCGCATATACTTTTGGAACGAGGTTTCTTTGCTTTCAGATACACCCTCGAAAGACCAATTTCCTCGCATCACGCATCCACCTCGAGAACGCTATACAATAACACAAAGTACCGTACAAACCAACTAACCCACACCACCATCCCTCAGCACACATTCTACTCCCAGCATCTTCACTTCATCTTCTTCCCCTCCACCCCCGTCCTCTCAACCCCATCCAAATCCCTCAACACGCTCCTAACCGGCCACACAAACCCCTCCTCCACCCTCCCCGTCTCCCCCTCCTCAACCGTAACAAGATACTCCACAAGCGCCATACCCACATACGCGCCAATCGCCGTAAAAATATGCCACCACCCATGTAGTTCGAACAAGAAACCCCAGGGCAGTCCCACCCATCTCTTGAAGACTGTAACGTAGTAACACGCGTGGAAATCAATGTTCCACAAGAAGTATCCGAAGAGGCCAGTCGAGATGCCAAAGGTAGCCATCCTCCCAAGTTTCTTGCGAGCTTCTTCGGACGTGATTTGCACTTTAATAAGCGCGCGCGTGTACTTACTCACCAAGAATATCATGACCGCAAACGCAATCTCATGCAGAATGATCTCGTCGGCCCAGACGTGGTACACGGATACTGGGATCAGACTTCCTAGGATATACGCCGTGTACTTCCTCCTCTCATTCACCGTAGCTTTGAAACACAGCAGTTGGTGCAAGATGGCGCCGACGGCCAGGAACATGGATAAGTCGTCGCCCATTTGCGAATGGTATTTTAGTGTTGCGTGGAACCAGGCGCTGAGGAGGCCGACGGAAATTAGTCCCCAGTAGGGGAAGGCGAGGGTGGAGATGAGGCCGCCGGTTGGTTTGGGGGCGACGCGGCGGAGGCCGTGGAGGCCGTAGATTACTAGGGTGAAGAGTGAGTTTGGGGAGGAGGGGGGAGGGGGGATGGGGGATGGGGCAAGGCGGACCGTAGGTGATGTTTGTGAGGGTGTTTATGAATTCGCCGATGTAGGGCGTTATTATGTAGTCCTAAACATCAATTAACTTCTGAGATACATATATCTTTGTTTTATCTTGCGTACCTCTTCACAAAAACTACTTCAAGTCAGCCAAGCCCAATTAAACATACAGGTACCGCGTGCAAACTCACTTGTGATTCGACGTCTTCGGCTCCCACGCCCCGACGATGTATTCGTTGGGGCTGGGGTAATCCCATCGCCACTGCATTTTCAATTGTGAAGGCTACACGATGGGAGGTTGATCCGATGTTATGAGGTGAGGTGACGTTGTTGTTTCCAAGGTTCTGTGGTTTTCTATTTGGAGCAGGAGGGTTCGCGCTTTGACCCCTGATCACGGTTCCACTTTGCACGCTACGAAAAGACTATACGAAGACGCGTGGAAAAGCAAACAAACACGGGGAGAATCCAGCAGTAGGAGTTCTTGAAGAGTGAGGATTAAGAGTTGAATTGCGAAATACCTAGTTGCGAGGCTTCACTACAGAATTAACCTTCTAAGCACGGCAAACATACAAGACTGTTAGAAAGATAATCCTTCTTCTCACAGCTTTGAAAACACGCTGAAGAACAATTTCGGAGATTCCAAGACGTGATTATGAGAGTGTCTTGGGCGCGCTCTAGGTCTTGCAGAGTGAATATTTGAAGTCCCAAGGTCCTTGTGCGGCAGACCTAAGTAGGCAAAAAAAGTTTTTCCTTGCACATATGCATAGCAGTGTCTTTCTAAAGGCTTGGAGATGTTTCCCCAAGCCTTTGGAACTTGTACCGTGATTGCTGTGCGTGTTGTGACCGCTGGAAGTGCAAAAAATGGGTCTTACCGCGACTCGAACGCGGGGCCTCTCGCAAGCTGTGCTTGGGTTTGCAAGTATCCGAAGATGCTTTCCCTAAGCTGGTGCGATGTCAGGATATATCTCATGTGCACTTGGTACAGAAGAACTTACCGAGAATCATACCACTAGACTGGTATTTGTTAGATGGTGTTGATGCTGAATGATGTGGTGATGTTTTACCCATAAGACCGAGGCAACTGCTGTGAAGCTGTTGTTCTTGTTGATGGAATGGTAACAAAAAGGAGCATATATAAAGGAAATCTTTGAAAACAGATGTTTCGAAAAATGGGCATGTTCTGGAACACCAAATGCAACGCCAGGTCGTTTGTAGTGTGGGCCTTGTGCTTCCCACCAAATTTTGTGGGGTTCTGACTGGTGGCAGTTTGGAATTGATGGCACTGATGGTTGACGTGGCCGAACTTAGCCGCTGGCTTGGGCGGGCCAGGGGCGGCAGATAGCTGCTCGAACACCAAAACTTAGCAGGAGTATTCGAGACTCCTGCGCAACCGCGTAGCGATACGGGCGTGAAGCATTATTGGTATAATAGTATTAGTGAGTGATCTGGTGAAGTTGAAGGGTAGGGAGCCAGACTCAGCGCGAACATGTCCCTCCGATACGCTGTTCGTAATATTCGCAATTCTTTGTTCGTACGGAGCACTTGGGCACAGCTAGTCTCTACTCGAAACAGCGACAAGATCTGGTATTTGATTGCAATAGTCTCTTGTGAGCGACAGCGCGTCTGCGCAGTACATAGTCGAAATCCAAAAATCGATGACGCAGTCCATCTCCAGCATTACGCCTTCGCACGGCTCGCACGTCTTCTCATGTATGCGCCACACTTTCGGGAAGTATATCTTACATCACACACATAGGTGTTGTATGCAGCAAGAAAGCCAAACATTATAGCGACCATTTTCTCGGATCTTCTCACCGACTCGCGATTGCTGCAGTTTTTATCACGGCTACGATGCTCGCAGTGCTGAATTTGTTGTCAATACGCACTCGAAACCTTTATTGATTTACGCGCACACTGTAGATTGGCTAGGTGTGTGAGCTTATAAGCCAGACCTGCAATCACGGCGCTGTGATCGAAGCAAGATTTGTACGCGTATTATGGCGAATGGCCTGACTTTCTGAGTCGTCCCGCTTCAACATTCCCATGTTGTGAGAATCCTGGTCGACGCGCAGGGCGACGCAATAGGTTAGCCCAAACGCGAACATCTTAGGGAAGAAAGCCCGATCATCGATGAGCAAGTCCGATGTTCGTCACGACTCCGATTATGAGAAGGGATATTGGATCTGCGCCGATAGCAGATGCGCCTAGGCATGTGACAAAAGAGCTCCCTCACCAGACTCGCTTTCCACAGAATATGTCCTTTGTCGCAAATCATCTCAACCATCCCAATTCGATGCGACTGCGATGTGTCGTCGCTGATGGCATCGCGATGGTAAGGTAAAAGTCGGAAGAGTCAACGTTGCCGAGAAGAGCGACGATCGCGCTTCGTCGTACGTTCTGAACCTCCAAGCGCATTCCTGCCCAATCACCCACAACAACAATCGGAAGCACCACCTGCTCAGGAAACATCTCCAGTCACATGTAACATCGCGCATCGAAGCAACCACCTTAGTCGGATCCCGGCAGTCTGCAAGAAGAGCCGCCGGTTCGGTTAAGATGCCACTGACGACATCCACACATGCACAACGCGGGTGAGGCGATCTCCACAACTCTCCGGGCCTGAGCGCGTCTTTCTCCGCCTCCAGCCTAACCCCAGAATCGTTTTTCCACAAATCACACGAGCTCCGACACTGACTCAATCTCGTTTCTCTCCGATGGTCAAGACGGCAGGCTTCTCGGCATGCGGCCGCTATACTTGGGTCGGTAAAACCATTTTAACCATTTTACCTGGCTGTCCAGGGCTATGACCAACGAGTATGGAGTCTCCATGCGGAGCAAGGACTCGAGTGGAGACGACTGCTTCAAGCGATATGATTGTCACGTCGAGCACAGCGGCGTGTAGTGCCGACTTTCTCGACCTTTATATTCGACCCTCCCCACGTCTGTGGATCGACAGGTCGAACGACTGCCATCTCTGCATCAACCCAAGGCTCTGGACAGGTCCCGGTCAAGATGTTCGAAAGGTTTCCTAAGATTTACAATGTCTACTTCTTGGCAATTGTTGCCACGATGGGAGGCATGCTCTTCGGTTTCGATATCTCTTCGATGAGTGCCATCATTCCGAGTGACCAATATCTGTAAGTCGCAGTGACGTCAAACACCTCACTTATTGATCCCTAACAACGAACAGCACCTACTTCGACAACCCAACCGGCGTCGTTCAGGGAGCTATTGGCGCGGCCCTTGCTGCGGGCTCAGTGGTTGGCAGTGCTATTGCTGGTCCTATCTCCGATAAGTTTGGTCGTCGCGATGCCCTTATGTTCGCCTGTCTTTGGTGGCTAGTCGGAACTGCGCTTCAGGTTGCTACAACTGGTCGCGGCATGCTTATCGCCGGTCGTGTGTTGAACGGAGTCACTGTCGGTATCACTTCGTCTCAGGTTCCCGTCTACCTGGCCGAAATTTCCAAGCACTCGCAGCGTGGTGCCATCATTATTATTCAACAACTCGCTATTGAGTGGGGTATTCTTATCATGTAAGTACACCGAACACACGAAGTAAGCCCAAGCTAAAAGGTCGCAGGTACTTCATCGGTTACGGGTGTACTTTCATTCCTGGCGAGTCAGCTTCATTCCGTACGGCCTGGGGAATTCAATACGTCCCCTGCGTCATGTTCATGATCGGTCTCCCATTCCTCCCAGAGTCTCCACGATGGCTCGCGAAGGTCGACCGTACAGAAGAAGCGATCCACATTCTGGCCTCCATCCAAGCCGACGGCAACATCGAGGATCCCTACGTCATCGCCGAATACGAGGAGATCGTAACTGCTCTCACTGCAGAACGTTTAGCTCCCCAAGGATGGCGAAAGTTCGTCTACAACGGCATGTGGAAACGGACTCTTGCCGGTTTCTCCGTCCAGGCCTGGCAGCAGCTTTCGGGTGCTAATGTATGTTGAGCATACTTCGCGTAGTACCGTCCTGCTAACAGTTCTCAGGTCATGACTTACTACGTCGTATACATCTTCGCCATGGCTGGCCTTAAAGGCAATACCAAGCTTATCTCCTCCGGTGTGCAGTACGCTTTGTTCATCATCTTCTCGTCTATCATGTTCTTCTTCGTCGACAAGATTGGCCGGCGGACACTTCTGGTTTGGGGAGCCATTGCAATGGGCATATGCCATCTGGTCGTAGCTGGAATGCTCGGCGGTTTCTACACATATGTCCCCGATGGTGTCGATGGCGACGCGAATGTCACCATGAGTGTCACCGGGTCGCCGGCGTACACCGTTATCGCATTCTCCTACCTTTTGATAATCGTAAGTACCTCTGGCCATTCCATATGAACCATACACTAATCGTATATCTTTCAGTTCTACGCACTTACCCTCGCGCCCATCTGCTGGGTCTACGCCGCTGAGGTCTGGTCACTAGAAACCCGTGCTTCTGGAATGGGTATCGCAGCTATTGGCAATTGGCTTTTCAACTTCGCCATTGGATTGTTCATTCCACCTGCGTTTGTCAACATTCGATGGGGACTTTTCCTCGTCTTCGGAATCCTCTGCTTCATGGCCGCCGTCCAATTCTTCTTCACCTACCCCGAGGCAAGGAACTCTGGAATTTCTGTTACGACTTCAGCTAACTCTGAGGACAGACTTGTGGCAAGACTCTTGAGGAGGTTGAGTTCCTATTTAGCAAAGAAGGCCCACACGCTTGGAAAACCAAGAAGGGCAGTGACAATCTCGCGCGCGACCTCGAAAACGTTGCTGCTGCGCAAGCCAAGGGAGAAGCGCTTGCCACCATCAATAATGTCGCAAAGAAGGAGAAGGGCGAGACTGAGACCACTGAAGCGGTCTAAGCAGGTTGGAATGTGCGGTTGTCCGCACACATATCACCGACAATGCCATATTGGGCTTGCTTTGAACGAATCCAGTTGTTACTTTGGACTCTCCAGCGCTTCGTTCTTGTTGAGATTACTGAGACATATAAACGAACTAATACAGCATTCTGTTACAGATCATTGCTATTTACGTCATGCTACTAATTCCAATCCTCCCGCCAAACCCCCACCTTCTTCAAAAAGTCTACTTGATTCCCCTTCGCAAACTCCCTCGCCCAGTAATCCCCATCCCACCGCACCCACGCACTTTTCCAGCTCGAATCCGCCCACCCCGTCTTTTCAACCGGATACAAAGACCCCATGCCGGATTTCCGCACTTGGTCCATGATATCGGTCGCGATAGTTCCACCCCTGGCTGTCGATCCGCGTGGTTTGACACTGGCCTTGAAGATTTCCACCTCTCGCGCTTCCTCAAGTTCTCGTTTATAGGTATCTAGTCTGGCTTCGCGCGCTTGGATCGCGGCGGGGAGGTGGCAGCGGGGGATGAGCGGAGGCCTCTTTATACGTTCGAGCGGATGAGTCCAATCTGAGATCGAAGAAGGTGAAGTGGACGATGAGGTATCGCTATCAGGTGTGCGGCTACCGGAGGTACTAGGTGAACGGATAGGAAACGGTGCTTCGCGCATGAATGCCTGTTCTGTCTTTCCGATATGGATATCCCGGGCTTTAACGCTCTTCCTCAGTCTAATCACCGCGTCCTCTAAGCGCGTGTTGACGACCTGTTCGCGCTTATAGTCTCGTTTGAGTGCCTCCTTTACTTGGTCTGCTACTGAGAGCTTCTGTTGGAGGCCCTGGACTTCCCAGTGGGCATGGTCTTTGACCTTTTGGTAGTAGTCTCGGATGTATCGGAAGTGCTCCAGCTGTTGCTCGGACATATTCGCTTCGAATGCGAGGCTGCATTGTTCGAATTGAGCCTTGTTTTCTTCTAGTTCTTCCTTCCAGGTCTTGGCCTCCATTTCCAACCGGTCGTTTTTTGGCCGAAGCTCTGCGAGCTCTTCTTCCGCTTTGGTAAGGTCTGACTGTAGTCTTTCATTCTCGGGCTGGAGTTGTAACAGCTGTTTCTTCGCTTTGGCGAGCTCCAACTCTGCATCACGGCGCTTCTTTTTTTCTCGTTCGTAGTACTGTTCCCATTCATTCTTTCCCGTTTGCATGGGATGCGGACTTGGTAGACCGGGGCTCAACAACCCCTTCCTCTCGATTTCGATGGTCTTTCCCAAACTATTAATCTCGTATTCTTTCTCCGCTAGCTCACGATTCAAATCTTCGATCTGCTCCCTCAACTCTTTAGAGTTCCCATTGAAGTTTTTGATCAGTTTTAGGAATTCACCTCGCAATTTTCCAGTCTCATCATCTTGCGAAAGACTCAAGAAAACTGCATCGAGCTCTTTGGCCTCGCATTTCGAGATCCGTGGCAAGTTTTCGGCCACTTGGTTGACAACTTCGCAGAGTGTGCGGATAGACTCCTGGTTGTTCTTTAGCTTTTCATCCACTTCCCTCAGTGAGTCATCAAATGACTTGCAGGCAGCAGTCGCATCTTCTGCCTCTGTTTTCTTCGCCTGGAGTTCCAACCGTGTCCGCTCGACTGATGCTCGGAGCTTTTTGTTCTCCGCTTCCACCTCTTCAAGAGGAGGTAATCCAGGCTCACGTGCGTTGCGCGCTGCAATCTTGGCTTCGCTCTCGCGAAGTTGGACAGATAGCTTCTCGTACTCTTGCTTCAGGTTCGTCGCTTCTTCTTTAACGGTTTGCAACTCTTGTAGTACGGTTTCACGCTGTCTCATCGCCTCATCGCGCTCTTCTTCCACTTTCTGGCGTTTGATTTGGAGCTCTTGTATCTCTGCAACGATCTCGGGCGGAACGACGGGTTTTTCCTCCTTACCATGGGGCGATACGCTTTTAATCTGGTCTTGAGGTGCGGCGGCCTCGCTTTCCACATTCTCGAAATGATCTTCTTGTGACACTGCAGCCATATCATCTTGCGTCAAAGCTGGTTCCCGCTCTTGTGATGGCTGAACATCAGGACTGGAGTTCTCAACATGGTGCTCCTGTGGCTCTTCCTGGGCTAAGAGATCTTCCAAGTCATACGATTGCTCCTGTTCCCGTACGGTCAGCTCTTCTTCGGGCTCTGATACTTGCTCTAGTGCTTGCTTCTCGAGCTCTTCCTCTTCTGGCTTATTTTCTCCTAGATCCTCCTTCTCTAGCGGCTTTCCTTCCAGCCCTTCCCCTTCTAGGATAGGCGGTGCTTCTTCTTCTTCTTCTTCTTCTTCTTCTTCTTCTTCTTCTTCTTCTTCTTCTTCTTCTTCTTCTTCTTCTTCTTCTTCTTCTTCTTCTTCTTCTTCTTCTTCTTCTTCTTCTTCTTCTTCTTCTTCTTCTTCTTCTTCTTCTTCTTCTTCCTCTGCGCATCTCTCGTGTTCCACATCGCTATCAAACTGACTAGAGTCGTCATCATTGATGTGTGCCTCGTCGTCATCTGCGTTCTCCTCATCAATGTCAACATCGTCATCAACATCATCTACCTCACCATCATCCCTATCCTGCGTGGGCGTACCACCCCCCACCCGCTGACGACTCTGTGGTCTACTACCAAACCCAGGAGACGAATACTGCCGCATCGCACTGCCCGGCCTCGAAGACGGTTCCTTCGTCGACACCGACCTCTTCCCATACTGAGCAAGTTCAATCTTCTCGTTCTTCTTCGCCTCGGACGCCCTGGTCGGGGCGGCAAAAGATGATGCATTCGTTCGTGTTACGGGTCTGACTGTGCCTTGCTGCTCTTCGTTGGAAGACTCCGGTGACGCAGCTTTGTGGTCAGGGGACGACATTGGTTTGGTCTGGTTCATATCGCGGGTTTATGTCAGTCAGTCGCGTTCAGCTTGAGTACTATTTCCCTGAGCTGTGGTTACGGGCACGTTTGCGCGATTCATATGATATCGCGATATAAATTATTGGCACAAACAAATCTTTCCGTCAGCTACATGAATGACCATTCTACATGCTTGTCTCATTGATTGATCACTACATTGTCTCGTCTATGTTTTGCACATCACAGTGTTCCTCGCGTCGTATCAATGTGTCAATGTCTTGATGGCGTCGTGAATGTAGTGGATTTATCTCAGCGACATAGTGAAATTTGACGAGACACTGTTTAGACTTTTCACGGCGGAAAAGTGTACTCTCTTTGTCAACGTTGCTACTGTGAGAATTGCATCCAATTGGTATTACCAGAAACGCAAGGTACTGGTTGTCGACCTCACCGCTGAGATTGAAGGAACAGCCATGGAAAGTGTGCGCTGCATGACTGGCAAGTTGTACTGCGAGGATACCCTGACCTTCCTCTGCACTAGGACCAGCCATCTCATATCGCGCGCATTCGCGCAATGTGATACAAAGTTAGATAGCTCAACGAACGTACGTTGGGCAGGAAGATGCGAGCTAATGCGAACATGCACTTTCGCCACCCCTACAGGATTCAGCATTTCCCACATCCAGGCTGGCAGCCGTTGTGGATGGGCGTCAACCAACGACTGGGGTAAGCGACAGGAGCGCAGCGTTAGTGACATCACGTGCTAGCGTGTACCGACTCCATGGGGTGGCGTAACACGATGCTAGCTGGTTGAGGAAAGACCCATGTCATCTTTAAGCCGCATCGGTTCAGCAAGGAGATAAGGTGAGTGGAGTGGTGAGCGACGCTGACGTTTTAGCCGAATGGAATGGAGAAGGATTCAGGCCTTGACGTGAAATGAGGGGTAAAGCAAGAGGCGAATGTCCAGGCTGACGGTGGCGCTCAGTCTACAACGACCTTAGTCCACCGTTGGAAAGCGATGATCGAGCGGAAGCCCCGATCTTGCACGTGTTGTTGTGTGACAAGTGCTGCCCTGATGCTGGTGCGCTACTCGTCACATACCTTACACCTACTTTAGCCGGCAAAACTACGCGAGATAAGCGCCTTCGCGCCAGAAGCGACAGAGGCGTCCCGTTGCTGAGCGGCATGCTGGGATATTGCCTTGACGCCATAGATATATCGTAAGCTTTTGCCGGGAGCTTCGTCGACTGTGCCACTGTGCCGTGTCTTCTGATCATTCTGGAACGGGTAAGTTTTCATCAAGGTACATTGAAGAATGTCAGGCAAATCGTGCGATACTTGCATGAGAGCCGTACCAAGCATCAATCGGTATATGGGTACCTCGCGGCATAGTTGCTGGATCGAACTGCGACCGTTGGCCTACTGCAAGAGCGCATACTAGCGTACCAGCGCCAGCTTCCTGGTGCCGGAGGCGTGTATACCTGAGGTGACTAGGCAACTTCAGCGTGCAAGATGACATGCAGTGCATCTTCAACGCGAGTGTGCCGGTGGCGCGGCACTTGTCGTGCTGTGAGCAGAAAAGGGCCGAAGCTTGAGCGTAGCTTGCTTCGAGCGCAATGATATTGGTGGTTTCGATCATACTATTGACGGAATTCCCGTGCCAGAAGCTCGTCCCATGGTAACAATGCTGGGAAGTGGGGTAGACCGCTCAACCGCCAAACCCTTCCAGCAAAATGGGGGCTGACCTTGACTCTTAGCGTCCGCGGAATGGTAGTACAACATCTCTTGGTTTGCAGTTATTGCAAGGTACCGAGCGTTTTAGGTGTAGATAGTCGTTGTAAAAAGTGGAAAGAGGCGCGGGGAGGTCTGTGACCGAGAACATCCGGGTCGATGACGGGTAGAACCAGCGGATCCAATCTCTCTAGCCCGCCGACGGGATCACCGTATGGCAGATTGCGGAAATGGTTTCTTGCAATTGCGATAGCTGGCAAAGGTAACGGAGATATAGCCTATCTAGGTAATGCAGAAGTTGGGTCAGTGGAGGCAGACATTGACAGCTACGGCGTCGATCACACACACGTGCGCAGATGATGCTCTCGACACCTGTGACTACGAGTAGCTCGAGTCGACAATGCTGTACCCACCATGAATACCGATCATGTGTCCTGGCGTAGTCCTTCTCGATACTGCCAGAGCACTTTGGCATGGTGATAGTCCGTTTGCGTTCATTTTTGGGTAGACCGGTCAGAGAAGCATGCTCAAACAGTACAAACTCATTCAAGCCTCCTGGTTCAAAGCAATACTCCAGACAGTGGTCTCCACTTTTGTTTCGCGCTTGCTCGAACCAATCACTATCGTCTTTGAGGCTCAGCCAAACCTGGTCGCACAAGGCTGTAACTGTTTGGTCGTGGTGCCGAAACGGCGATAGTACGCATTCCAAAGGCAGGTCCCCATGTCAACACGATCGACCGGAAGCAACCGAATTTCTGCTGTATGCATGCAATATGCAGAACCTTGCCCAGATTTCCGCGGCCTGGCACCGAAGGACGTTGAGTGCCTGTTGACTGTGACGGGCTTACCCCAAATGTCGTCGCTGCAGCATGTTGGGTTCAATAGCCGAGAGGCAAGATGGACGGAATTATTCTGAGCTTGAGCGGTCAACACAGACCTGAACCTCGCCGCGGGGGCGCATCGTAACCAGCCTGTCGGGATTGCCGTACCGACCCTACCCTTTGTCCGGCGACCGCAAAATCATGATAATGTGTTTGAGATCGAGTGTTTGAGATGTGCCTAGTTTGTCGCCGCCTGTAGATTGACTGTGTAGTTGCATTTTGATGTGCGGTGTGGATGTTAGAAGTCGTTGTGTCGTGGTCAGCCCTGCCAAGTATGACCAGCTGTCAGGGTTCTGACATAGAAGGCTGCAGCCATCCGTGAACAGCACGTCAGGCTTGACTACGTAGCGAAAGAACCCAAGTTTTGGTCGACCAACCACGTTCGGCCTTGGGAAGATTTCTGGTCATGTACCATCTATGTCATTGGTTGCTGGGAAAGGGGACCGCGACCCCCCGGTGATGCAATTGGTGCAGGAATGCAGCCCATGTTCTGGCGGAACATAACTTCAGGGGTCGTTCTGGAGGCTAAAGATACCAGTGAGCGTGTGGCTTGCTATAGCGAGCGCCCAGTGCACATGACTGCTGCAAGCCATAGTACACCCCTGCTAAGATTGGTAGACAGCTTCTTGGGGTAGGCGATTTGAAAGGAAGGGCGCCTAGATTGAGAGTAGCTTCCGTCTATAGCTGTCGATGTGGAGGGGCTGAGGGCCGCTTTCAACCCCACAACAGGACGGACATGATATTTTCGACTTCGAAACGTGAACGGACCAGAAAGCTAGGTCTTGCGCCATTTCGCAGGTAGTTCATCGCTTGAGAGGTTCGCAGGCCAAAAGCAGCGCGACGTCTGAGTGTGTCAAGCGCGCCCAGCCAACACCAATCCGGTAGTGCCTTTGTCCATGTTCAGACGACTAAGTACACTATACACATACGTGAGCAGTCGACCTCGAGGTTGTGTAGTCGCTACAAATACCTTCTGGCGACTGATCCCGGACAAAGAATCCTTCTCCGTTGATTTGCCCTTCACACTTTGCTCGAGCTCTGCTTTCGCCACAAAGAGACACGGGCCGGAACAACACAACTCAAACAGTACGGCGGTGTCTGACTTGCAAGTTGGTATCGCATAGTCGTCCACGCTGATTGTCTCTGCACCAAAGCCTTGGTGCCGGTGAGAAGCGGGTAACTGCAACAGGTTCGTTCCCTGAACACTTTGCGAACTGCTATGCATCATTGCGGTGAAGCAAACCCAGCAGAGAGCGACGCATTCGCTAGACGTACTGACACATATCCAGTACAATATCTGGAACAGAACAGTCTGATCCAGCATCTTCTCGAGAGACCAACGAACGCATCTCGGTATCCACCAGCAACAAAATCCTTCGGTCTTCATGTTGCACGGCCTTTGACCAACAGAAGAGTCATTCCATCCATTGCAGTTGCGCTTGCTCTGTTCAACTATCGATCTCCATCGCTTAAGCGTTGCGTTGAGTCCGGAAACAGGGCCAATCGGCAGTCCGCAATCTCCACTGTCGCAGCAACTAACTTGTGCGTCAACACTCGCCATGATGAGGGGTGACACGCTCGTCCAACAACATCCTCCGACCCCACCGAATGCTGGGTCAGATTATCAGTCCGGGCTGCATCCAGTTGCGCAATATGGCGTCGATCGCGGCTATTCGTTCGGTGAGACAGGGTACGGCTCGCCAGGCTCGGTGGCGCACGAAGGGATCCCTTCACATGCGTCACATGCCGACAACCATCCTCGTGGGCTCGGACTAGGTATACAATATGTAAGAGTCCCTGCGTCTTCACACATGTAACCATGCTGATCGAGGTACAGGAGGGATATGGTCCACCAGCGGAGTATTACCAGAACGGGCCGTATAACGGCATGCAGGTAAGTAATGTCGCCGGTTGTTTCTGACCCGATTGCTAATGGATGATAGAACGAGCAAGCCTTGTTCTCGCCACCGACACCAAGATCCGCGAACGATGAGGATTCCGGACGTAGGACAACTCGTAGCGGACGAGCAACGACGTCGTCCAGTTCTCCACGCCTGAATGAGACCAGCCCTAGACGGAAGGCGACACCGAGAGTGAAGAAGCCGAAAGCACCGAAAAACGAGAAGCACAAGACGCCCAAGCTTACTGCGCCGTTGAGCATACTGACGAAGGAGCTGCATCATATCCCGGTCAAGAATATGGAGGAATGGGTGAACAGGCCAGCGGATGTCAGGAGACGCGAAGTTGAGAAGAGGAATGGATACATCACTCGTCCCATGAACTCGTTCATGCTGTACCGGTCGGCGTTTGCGGAAAGGGCCAAGTCATGGTGTCTTCAAAACAATCATCAAGTCGTATCGTCCGTAGCGGGGGAGAGCTGGCCGCTGGAGCCGCCGGAGATTCGCGAGCTATACAACGAGTACGC